CATTTTAAAATACATAGTCAATTGTGTGAGTCTGTTAACACACAAGCATAAACGATATAGTATTTACAATGTTTGGCTTTTTTAATACATTTTAAAATACATGGTCAATTGTGTGGGTCTGTTAACATACACACACAAGCATAAACGATACAGTATTTACAATGTTTGGCTTTTTTATTACATTTTAAAATACATGGTCAATTGTGTGGGTCTGTTAACACACAAGCATAAACGATACAGTATTTACAATGTTTGGCTTTTTTAATACATTTTAAAATACATGGTCAATTGTGTGGGTCTGTTAACACACACACAAGCATAAACGATACAGTATTTACAATGTTTGGCTTTTTTAATACATTTTAAAATACATGGTCAATTGTGTGGGTCTGTTAACACACAAGCATACACGAAGTTTAATATTCTTTTTCATAAAATGACCCTGCTTGTCCAATTTCATCCCCGAAGAAAAAAATGTACCTAAAAAAACAAAACAACTGAAAACAGAGGACAAAAATTCTTATTATAGATTATAAATTCTTAGATTCTTATAATTTTGAGAAATACTTGAATGTATTGAATTTGAAACAAAAAAAATCAATGACAAAATTTAGTACTGATCATGAATAGAAAAAGGAGACATACTCAGTCGAATTAGAGTGTGTACTGACAAAGTAACCAGAATTAAATAGAAGACGGATAAACTGCACTTTTTGTTGTCATGTGCTTTCAATATAAATCAGAACGCCAACAAATCTTATAAAAACATTTTTTTTTTTTTTACAAGAAGCATGGGTGATCTCCAGAATACAATCGGGATACTATACAAATGCCACGTTAAAACACAGTCCGTGGTTGAACTGTGGGCAAAATAATAAATCGTTACTTTGATGTTGGATTGTTGCCATTGGCGGCGCTCTGTTGCGTTGCGCTCGTTGACCGTGACGTCAGCTGTTACAGCACTGAACAAGCATGGCTACCTGTACGGGCAGTGTGTTCGATGTCCCAACATTTTGTCTCGTTACAGGCGCTAGCAAAGGCATCGGACGTGGGATAGCGGTCGCACTGGCCGATACAATCGGGGAAGGTAGCATCATGGTTCTTGTTGCCAGATCGGAGACAGGGTTGCAGGAAACCAAACTGTTAATAACGAGCCGACGTGGGGGAGTCGAGGTTCGCGTATATCCATCGGATCTCAGCGACATGATTTCCCTCAGGAGCCAAATTGAATGTTTTTTCAGCGATGTCATACCAGCAAACTTTCAACACGCTATTGTAATACACAATGCCGGCTCCGTAGGTGATGTTAGTAAAACCTTGCGTGAATTCAACGAACCAGTCAAGCTGCAGAGTTATTTCGACTTCAACGTTACCTCTACCATTTGTATCACATCGGCGTTTTTAACCATGTTCCCAAAGATAGACCGATTGCGACGTACTGTAGTAAACATTTCATCACTGTGTGGCATACAACCATTCAATTTCCACTCCCTCTATTGCTCATCGAAAGCCGCCAGAGACATGCTATTTAAAGTTCTTGCTGCCGAAGAACCAGATATCCGTGTTGTGAGCTACGCCCCAGGCCCAGTTAACACCGACATGCGACACGAGGTGGAGGTAGCCCTGCTGACATTGGGCAATACAGACATGTACACTCGGTTGTACACGGACCTCACGGCCAAGGGGGCAGTACTGACTGTCGAACAAACTGTGGGTACATTAATGAAGCTGTTGTATGAGGATTCTTACGATAGTGGAGCACACGTTGACTATTATGATGTCAATAAATAGGATTCTTTCTCGATCGATAATACAGTCCATCACAGGCCCGTAGCCAGCACTTTTTAATAGGGGGTTCGAAAACAACAATAATATATTTTATGTGAAACTTGTGAATTTTATAATTTTCAAAAAGAAAAATAGCGGATTCTTTATCGTCTTAGAGCTATGTTACAAACATTTTAGTAATCTCGGTTTTAAATTCAATTGGCTTACTTTGTGTTACGTTGTTAAGTTATTTCACATAACATTTTTGAACTATTTTACAAGATTTTAGAGAAGGGGGTTACTGAACCATTCCCCACCAACAGACAAACACACCCGCACCCTAGATACTCTACGGCAAATTGTTATACTCAAACAAGACAATACTGTACCTGTCTTGGCATAACATTGTCTAGGCATTTTAAGGTAGAAATAACACAGGCTATACGTACTAATACAATAAGTTGACTACATTTGGCTGACACACTTGGAAAGAGCTGTGTATATGCCATCATAAACTTGAAGAATACAAAACTAATGAACCAAACTAGGAAAGTACAGTGTCGTGTTGTGCTGGAAAAATTACGGGACCGATCAATCCCGTTCGAACCCACACTGTACTTACTGAACGAACACTAGCACAAGACAGAGAGTGACTTCCATTACATTATTGTTGTATAAATATGCTTACTCGTTATAATATTTCACATCAGCTGCTTGAACGCGATCTTCATTACACCATCGCGGAATCACCGAATAAAAGCTTGCCCATTTATAACAACCTGTTTTGATTGGCTGCTGTTGAGCTGAGACGTAACTTCCCGATTGACATTTAAAGCTTGTTGCCACCAAAATGCTCACTGAGTCAAGTGATTTACACGATGATAATTATTTTAATTAATACTGTTTGTTTTAATATGTTCTAATCTACGATCATAATTGTATTCACTTCCAAAATTTAGGGGGTTCGACTGACCACGCCGAACCCCCCAAACAACGAGCCTGTCATCCCTGGATTATCCTACCACGTACATACTTGTAAATGTAGTAATTATTTGATGATAAATGAATACCGCTAAATTAAATACATTAAATAAGTAAACTAACAACATAACACATTATTTTGACTTTAACCTATTCAATACACTCAAGTCGAGCACATGATATTGTGGAGTTGATTATTGTAACTGTATCAGGGGTAAATTCTTCTCCTCGGGGTTCTCCACACTTGCCACCAGGGGGGGGGGGGTAATCTCGTCTCGTCTCTCTATCGCGTCCCCTTGAGCAATCTGATTAAAATCCGATGTAGGTATGAGGCTCCAATTTTTTTTTTTTTTTTTTTTTTTTTTTTTATATATTTTTTTTTTTTTATATATATAACCCTTCATATTATATTTATTTGTATTTTAGTTTGAATATGTCGATTTTTTGGTTTTTCTTGCCGTTAATCAGTTCTTAAAAAATTGTGTCCCACTCCCCTCTAACTAAAAAACGCCGAACTGCAGCGTCAATGCGTGACCCTTGTTACGCAGGATGCCAGCGGCGGTGAAAACAAAGGCCCAAAACTCGCAGAAAACGGTACTTTGGGATGATTGTTGAGACTCCTCTGAACAGTGTAACAAGATTAGCCCTGCGTGTGTAACATATATAAATTTGGTTGTTCGGGATTACTTCAAAGTTTAGTTTAGTTTAGTTTGAGGGACTGTGGTTTGTGTTGTTTTCTCGAATTTTCACCGGCTCGACCGGCGTTCCACAGTAGCGCGCGCAAAGCCCATAGAAATACGTGGTACAGTGGTGCGCGTCTTAGCAACGTAGAACGTCCGTGACGTAGCTCCGCCCCGAGGATATGATAAAAAAAACTTCATGGGCT